GTCAAAGGTTCATCTCTACTAATACTATCAATAACCTTGCCACAGAATCAAAGAAAATAAGCCAAACTATAAAAAAAACATGCAGGGATGCTGACTGTTGAGCACAAACTTAGAAAAATTAGGTGTTTTACTTACAGCGCTCTCATTTCCAGTACTAACAATGATTCCCTTTCACTTAATCCATCATAAACATCTGGGTTTCCAAGACATTTATATGACTGATATGGTATTCTTTCTTTATTTTTTTGTTGAAAGGGTACACTTGACCACAAAGCCAAGACCATGAAGTAAAATTGAAAGAATGGCAAAACATCCTGCCATTTTCAGTAATAGAGAGTACAATGAACAACCAACGAGTTCCAATTAAACCATGAAAAAAGTTTAGAGTCGGAAAGCTTTCACAAGAGCCACACATACGATTGGTTTATTTAAATAATCTCTTCTGGATACAGCTATTAGGCCATTGAAACTTGTCACTCAGTAAAAGCCATTTAGCCATTTACTACACATACTGTGGACTGCTGTCAGATGCTGCTGCGGGACATTGTGTATATTTCAGACAAAAACCTTGGATGGTATCTTTACAAACTGTCCATTCCTCTTAATTCAACTCACATGTCCTATACACATATATAGTTATCTGATGATTGAGTGAGTCTCCCTTGGAGCTGAAGTTTTTTTCCATTATAATGACAAATACACCCAATTACTTCCAGCCAGAGTTCCAGTTCTGCATCAGTCGCTGCAGATGTTTCTAAATTCACTGTAACTGTGCAGATTCCTTCATGCTGAAACCAGGCTCCATCTGGTCTTTAACCCAGGGTCAGCGGAGTTGTCTGGGCTGACATCATTAGGGGCAACATTAAAGACTTTTAGTTGAGGGCTTTAAAAATTCAAATCTGGATTTCATCAGTTAACTTAATGGGATATAAAGATAATCATTCAGAAAAGTACTGGATGAGTATTAGCTGGTAAAGATGCATTTAATGTACCATCCAGTCTACAAAAAGTATATTTGCAATATTTTTTCTTGAATGACCAATACTACATTCTAACTTTTGTTCGTTGTTGTTTTTTTTATACAAAGTACCAGACATACACAATAGCCGTTGACTAAATTAGCATTCTTGAAATCAATTTTATAACATGTTAAGTGTATCTCAAACCTTCTACTTCTGTACTTGCCCTTCTTAAGCACACGAGTGCATATTCAAAAAGATATCTAGTCTTATATTAAGCACATTAAGAGTTTCTGGATAATCAGTTCATGATCCTTATAAAGTCTGGAGTGTGCGTGTCATGTTGGTGATGTCATCAAAATGATGTTTGCTAGTTAGCTAAGTTAATGCTAACTGGCTAGCATTCAAGAGTATATTTTTTTTAAATATGAACTTTTAACATATTGTGGCATTACTTGGGTTCATGCAGTTTTCATTGCAGTCTTTACCATCTGTACTCTGTACCACAATAACAGCTGTTGACAACAGAAAGGTTTCTGCAACAGTTTGTTTATTGCTTCTGGTCTTAGCTAGTGTTTGCTAACACTAGTGACTGGAACTTTATTTGAAGTGGATCTAACACTGTCAGACTTGGGCAATTAGCCAATGAACTCTCATTTGATATTAGAATTTAATCAAACTATTTATTAAAGAAAAACTCAGATGATGTACATACAAAGGCACAAATCTTACGTGGTCAGATATGGTTTGAAAAAGCTATTTCTGATAGTTTCCAGTAGTTTTTTTAAATATATATTTAGGTGTTTGAAGTGACAATCAGATTTCCAGTTTCTTTCAGAATTCTTAGGAATCTGGAATTTTCTATTAGAAGTTTATTGCTTTGCAGAGGGTTAATGTAAAAGAACTAGTGTTTGTTCAGGTGTTTGACAAATTGCAATTGCGAGATACACGCAGTAGTTAGGTTGAGTCACTGTCAAACATTGCACTTATCATTCAATCTTTTTTGATTTAAGGCAACACTACTCTGCCAAAAATACATGCTACATAGCTAGTAATAGTGCAATAGTGCATAGTGCAATAGCATAATACATGCTATTGCACACAGTGCACTTTTTGGATTTGTATTAATGGAAGAATGCAAACTGAGGCAGTTTTACGTCAGTGTGTGTGAAGCTATTATTTCAAGATAATATCGGCACTGGAAAACTAATAGACCTACAATGTTGAAGGCTGTATTAAAACTAAAAACAATGCCCTAATACGAGAGGCAATTAAATCTTTTAAATCAATTTATTAAACATAATGTTTTGCTTAATAATATTGTTATTCATTTGGTTGATGTGTGGTAAATGTAATGTTCCTTTCCTTCCATCTCTTACCTTGGAGATGTAAGCTTTGATGCCTTCGGCCAGTTTGATGCAGGGTTCGCCGAAGAGCTGGGCCAGCTGATCTGGGATGTCCTGGTCCTTATCCAGAGCATTTAGTAAACTCAGGCATTTTAACTCCTCTGTCACTCCCTGGCTACGCACCTATAGGACAAACATGAGACAAAAAAAGACAAAGTTAAACGACTGTTAAATGACAGTAATTCTTGATGCAAATTGATCCTCATGAGATGCGGAACCCAAGGATCCAGCGTATCATATAATAATATATATATCAGCAGCTAGAAGACAATCGTTATCACAACTGTTTTCACAATTGCTATCCCAAAATCAAGTCTTATTAATCATTTCTGATCGCTTACATGGGTCCATAAACATCCTTAAATTGACTTATTCTTTCCCTTTCCTCTTGATATTTATGCATGTCAGTTAGTCATACTCTTGTGTATCATCACTCTGTCAGCATTTTCAGAGCATCAGCTCATGTGCTGTCAGTTTCCTTGAGCACGTGTTTCTAATTTCTGCTATTTTTTCTGCAACATTATCTTGAGGTACCAAACCTTTCCGCAGGATTTCAAGGATGGAAATAACCGATATAAGCAGGTTTAAGTACACAAAAGTCAATCAGAAGCAATAGCAACTAGGATAAAATAATAATGTGAGGTTTATTTTTTAGAATTTGTGCATTTTTTTAAGTGTTTGGGGGGGGAAATGGTATTCGTCTCGGATTGATTTGTAGGCTGAGACCAAACGTAACGAGAATAGTTTGGCACAGGTGCACCACTGAAATGCAGGTACTTATGCAACAACACTTAGTAAAGGGTTTTTCCTAGTGTGAACATTTCTTAGCATGTGTGCATACATACACACATATGCAGTCTAATAAGAGACAATTGAATCAACAATTCCTCAGTGGGCAGAGGGGAAATTGTTTGTTTTGCTACGCCTCCTGTTTGGCAGCGACTTCCATCCCAAATAAGAAATGTTTTCATGTAATCTTAGGCAGCATGGGTCAAATAAAACATCTTTGGGAACTGGATTGTCCACGGTGCTCTAGCTTTGGAGTTATGCACACAGATGTGTAAGTGTGTGTATCCGTGTGTGGATATCCTTCAGGGAGGTTGTCGGCATCACCATCTGAAAGCCCTGTTAATGACTCTGTAACAAGCACTGATGAGGAGAGAGAGATTACAGTCCTGCCCTCCTTCAACCCTCCTCTGTATTTTTATTAATTTCTTTCTGCTTGACCTCCATTTTCTAATGAAACCCTTTTTTCTTCCTCTGTGTTCTTTTCCATCCCCTGCCTTTTCTTTTCCCACACCAGTTCATGTTGGTGCTGGGCCACATCTCAACATTGCTGCCCAGCCCTGACAAAAGATGACTCACGTCTCTAATGACTTCACTTCTATTCAAGGACAAATCCCAATGCGTCTAATTAGACACACATGTCAGCAGTTCCAGTCGGTACACATTCCAGTTACAAGTCTATGTGTAATTTGAGGTCAATTTTGAGAGGCTCTTATTATCCATTACAGTCAAATTTACAAAATGTGCAAAGCTGACAAAGAGGTTTTCTTGACCTATCTGACCTTTGCATGACCCAAAAGCCTGTGTTTCATATAAGACGGTGTCAGTAGAAACAAGCATGAACCCGACACAGTCAGCTTTTTGGGAGAAGGACAAGAAGACAAAATATCTAATGGAAAGTTGAGTCTTCACTGGATACATTACTGTTAGGGAGAGCATTTGCAATTTGACTGTTTCTCCTGTAAAAAACAAGTCGACATCTGAAGTTATCACATAGATCTACAAGGTTTTTATTTAAGTTGTAGCTCTACAGAACAAACTCTTTCAAAGTAGCCAAATTTTGTGTAATTCAGCATTTTAAGATTATCTGTACAGCTTTTTATTTATATATTATAATACTATATGAAACTGAGCAGCCTGAAGTAGGTGCTTGTGGCTCACAGGAATTAATTTTATATGCTGGCCCTGTTATTTGAGAGTTGTACTAGTATATATATGAGGCAGAAAATAAGGAAATGCATAAAAGGTCTTCTTAAAATACCAAAAAAGTCCCACGTATTCCTAGTTTAAACCTGCAGAGGGTAAAAATGTGCAAATCCTTTAACTTAATGGCATTTAATGTTATTCTTTGCATGTGATGAGGTTAAACTTAATCGCGCACAAAATTACATACTGCTGAGTTAATTAGAGTACACGCTCATTTTAAGCGTTTTGTGAAACTTTAAGGGTCATTTGTGACTGTTGGCGTCACTCTTGAAGACTTGGCTCAAAAACGTCTTTCTTTGAGAAGTGACTTAAACTCACTCATCTATCTACTCTCTATTGTTTTTCACCATTGTGATGAGAGAAAAGGAAGCACAGCAGGGCATTTTAGATCATCCGAATACAAGCAGGATACATCCCAACAAAAACTGCTGACAGTGGAGTATGGGCAGAGACACCCCGTGCATTGCGAGGAGTGATGACAGCAGAAGTGATAGGGAGTTTCACACATGCATGAGTGGATCTGAGCTCACTCGGCACAAGAAACAGAATGAAAGTGAGTTGCGTTTCTTTCTGGCGCCTTTGCCAAAACACACTCCCTGCTTTGGTGGATCTGGTTGAAGGATTTAATTGCTATTAAGGAGTTCCTTTGTATATAAAAATAAAAGATTTTACAGACCATGCTTTGCAAGTGTGTTTGCACGCAAGCATGTGTGTCCATTAAGTTTTGACAGGGCCGGTAGGGAGTGTTTGATCTATTATGGGAAACACTCTTGTCCATGTTAGTGAAGAGATAAAGCCCATGCACATCACTGCACAGAGCTAAAAACAGGATTAGAAGTAATCTTTCTGCTCCATTAGTGGATGGAAACGAGGCCAGAGGCCAAACTGAGCTTCCAGAGAAACATTATCACAAAGTTAATGCACTTATTTGTTTCTGAATTTAAACTAATAGTAAGTTAAGTGTGGAAAAAAAACATCCTACGTCCTCTCACTGGAGAAATGATGACACCATCACTAATTAGGACTAAACCTTTGAATACTTAAAAAGACACAAATTGTAATTTGCAGTAAACTAACTGAATGTGAAATAACCTAAAGGTATTTAAATTGCACTTACAACTTACCATCAATTTACCACTGTGAATATATTTATGTACCTCCAATTATGATTGCATATGCTTTTCTTAATTTGTGATCATTTTCTTCTGATTCTGTGTCAGTTGGCACTGGGTAATTGACCCTGAATTGGGAAACTGGAAGAAGATGGATTGATGGATGGTTTTCGGTTGTACACATACAATGAAATTGCAGGACAATATGAACCATCCACTGAAGGTTTGGCTACCTCAGCTGGAATTCTGTTATGTATAAATAATAAATACCTCTCCACAGACAAATCTCTGCAGTCAGAAAAAAAAAGAAAATTGTTAACAAAATTTTAGCCACTCAGATCTAAGGGACCTTACAGAAGTCATGGGAATGCAAGCTATGATACTTTGTTTAGGGTACTTCCCCAGTGTACAGGAAAAAACAACCTGTCCGACCTGACTGATACCTACACGTTCAGGACAAACGTTAAAGGCAACCTTTGAAACATTGGCTAATGTTGGCTGTCTCTACAAAATTGTTCAGACACATTAGTGAAGACCAACCTGACCAATAGTGGATTGACCAGCTAGCAAACTAACATTGCTGATTTTTGCCCAATGCTGTGCAATCTGACTAAAAGATCATTGTTTGAACAAACAACCTAATGACTTCCAGTCCCAACTGAGAGATGGGTTGGCGGAACTAATTTTGTCACATTTATTTAGAGTCTTTGTGCTGTAGCTCTTATGGTTACAATGCAAAAGCTGGCTGGTGTCTGGCTTCAGCTGGGAGCCAGCACCACCACAGAGCCAAGCACAACCTTACTTTCCATGTTTGGTTCCTCTGGAGGATCTTTCCATAAATACTTAATCAAATTGTCTGATCTGTCCGTGTAAACCAAATTCTTCCGATCTGTGGTTGGGAGTTTGTCTTTCATTTACTCATTTTGAGGCCATAATATTGAAATGAACTCTTCATTTAAGCGATTGCATCAGTCATTTCCAGAACTCAAAATGTTTTTGATTTAGTAAAGCTGTTGGAAAAGCAAAGAAAATGTGAGTGTGTTGTTTTTCCTGTAGGCCTATGTGGACATGCAGGCCTCTAGAGATGGAGGAATCAGCCCCTACATCATTACCATGCCCTGAGAACATCCATCTGGAACGGCTCCACAGGTTTTTAAGCATGAGCATTATGAAGAGGTCCCTCCCCTCATCCATCCTGACTTCTCCACTGACAGCAGTTTGTCAGCCAGTTCCTGAATCCTCTTTGTCGAAACCCCTAAATTGCAAAAGTGCCTTTATTAGCTATCATTTCAGGAATAAGTTACACCCCCGTGATTCGACAAGAACAAATCAATAAGCTGGTGAGAGGTCATCCACAGCACTTGAATTACTTCTTTACAATTTGCAGAAATGTCTTCTGACAAAAACTTAATTACTTAATTCTTAAACAATGGTCTAAAGAGGGTTTCTAATCTTATTAATAGCATGTAATCTGCTTTGCAGTTTTGCTGTTATTATTTTATGAAAGCACACTTTCATTTTCTCTGAAGCCATATGATATATTTTACACAAACAGTCTTAAATTCTGGTCTTGCTGCACTTATCCCCTGAGCAAAGTATTTTCTCAGTGTATTGACATCAATCATTTATCCTTCCCTTGGCTCCTAAGCAATGAGTCCATCGGGCCCCCTCCGCAGCCCAATCCAAACCAACAAAAGCTAAAAACATTTGCAGCATGCAAAAGATTTTTGTAACTCTCAACTGTGTTGTTAAACTTAGTCAGATATAACTGTATAATGTTAGCTAGCATGTCAAAAGCAAAGAAAAATAGATATGAGAGTCCGTAGAGGTTGTTTTCCTTGGAAAGACCCCTGACAGTTGTTGCATCGCGACATATCCATTTTTTTTCTCCGCAAAACATTTGAAAACTGCGATGAAGATTAATTTTAATATATTTGGATCATAAAAAATATATTTTCTTAATCCAGGTTACATGGTGATGTAATGCACCCTCAGGCAGCCTTGCTAAGAGGACTAAGA